GGAATATCAAAATTAAAACTATTGATGTAGAAGTTTGGAGTTACATGAAGAAGGGAGTTAGCAATACACTGAATGTATCCAAGGAATGTGGAAAGGAAAATGAGCAGTAACTTTGAAGGAGACAGGTTGTGGAAATGGTTGGTAAAGAAAGCTAAACTACACAGGATTAAGTGAAGAGCTAGAAGAAAATACAATGGGGGCTGGGAAGGTGGCTCAGTGGTAGAGCGCTTGCCTTGCATGCCTGAGGCCCTGGGTTCAATTCCTCAGCACCACATAAGCAAAAAGAAAAAAAAAGCCGGCAGTGGCATTGTGGCTCAAGTGGTAGAGCTCTAGCCTTGAGCTGAAGAGCTGAGGGACAGCGCCCAGACCCAGAGTTCAGGCCCCACGACCGGACCCCCAAAAGAAAAAGAGAAAATACAATGAATGCCTTGGTTGATGAGGAGCTAAAAGAGAATGAGTCCAACAATTTTATGGTAGCAGAAATTTTAGCATTTATATACAATGAGAAAGGGACCAGTGGAGACGGCAATTTTTAAACTCTATCTTTGTACTTAATATTAGGATACAGAGAAATTGCTCATGATAAAAACAAGTTGCACTCAGCTCTGGTGTCTCAAACCTGTTAACTTCAGTTACTCAGGAGGATTATACTTTGCTGCATTCTAAAGTAACCAACAAAAAGCAGAGCTGGAGGTTTATCTCCAATGGAAAGTGCCAGCCTACCAAGTGTTAACATCCAGAACTCAAATTTCAGTACAACCAAAAAGAAAAAGGGAGGGGAAAGAAACAAGTTGTCTAATATGTTTAGTATGATTCATATACAATTTAGACTCCTTTAAAGCCTTTAAATCCATTATGGCTTAGCCGATGCCAAACCTATGACTTTATTGTACACCATTCTCCTCCTCACTATGTCCCTGGGACACTGGCCATTTTGTTTCTGGTTTTTCAACGTGACAGTCTGTTCCTTTATTTGCTGTTATATCTACCAGAATGCTATTCTTTTCAAGGGCTCTCTCATTCAAGTCATTCAGAACTCAGTTCAAATGTTACCTCCACAGAGGTCTGCCAACCTATGAAGACAGTGCATATCCCTCTGCTTCTATCTTTCAGAACTACTAATGTCATTTCCTTGCATTAACTGAAATTCTTACGTTTGTCTATAATCTTCCCTGTAAGCTCTAACAGAGACATTTCATCTTTGACATAGCTACATATTGTTGTCTATTCTCTCTACTGCTTAAAATAGTCCTTGTTATATAGTAGGCACTCTGAAGTGAAGGAAAATACATATACACATATTTATAAGAGAAACATTAAGAAAGTTTTGAAAAAAATCTAACTTTTTTTTTTTTTGGGGGTCCGGTCGTGAGGCCTGAACTCTGGGCCTGGGCGCTGTCCCTCAGCTCTTCAGCTCAAGGCTAGCGCTCTACCACTTGAGCCACAGCACCACTTCCGGCTTTTTTCTTTTTGCTTATGTGGTGCTGAGGAATCGAACCCAGGACCTCGATCATGCAAGGCAAGCGCTCTACCACTGAGCTACCTTCCCAGGATTAAGTACAAGAAATCTGGCAGAAGGGCATTAGGTCCATTCATTTTTTGCTTCATCTCCACACATATTTTCTACAAAAACTATGTATTTTGTAACAGATTAGTTTTAAAATATGATCATAGGAGCCTAAGAAAGAAATCTATTATGTCTTTTTTCATCTTTTTGTGAGTTGTGAGATGTCATGATATGATCACCTGTGGGACAAAGAACTTGATTACAAGTTCATCTCTGAGTTGTTTTGATAAGCCAAAGATAGAATATTAAACCTTGGAGGAAAGACATCAAATATCATCTAATCTAATCCCCTAATTTTACAGATATAGAAGGATTTAGTAAAAGTAATTTAATAAAATATTGGCCAAAATTTTTCAAAGAAAATGATTAAGGTTTAAAAAAACTAATCTTATATTTCATACACAATTTAAACAATGAAAGCTCACTAAAGATTACTCTCAAATATAACCTACAATCTCATGAAATTATTACTCAAAGCAAAACTATTTTCTTAAACATACTACTTGACAGATGAGCCCTATAGTTAAGCATAATATGACAAAAGATTCAGAACACATAAATATAGGGAATGAAAATCATTGGCTCTTGAAATACTAACACCGTTAGCGACTAGACTAACTGATCTAGCAGGCACTTCCTTCCATCTAGCAGGCACTTCCTTCCATCTAGCAGGCACTTCCTTCCATCAGGTACATAAGCATCAAGTATAAAATAAGATGGGCTGGGAAGGTGGCTCAGTGGTAGAGCGCTTGCCTAGCATGAATGAGGCCCTGGGTTCGATTCCTCAGCACCACATAAGCAAAAAGAAAAAAGCCGAAAGTGGTGCTGTGGCTCAAGTGGTAGAGCACTAGCCTTGAGCTGAAGAGCTGAAGGGCAGCGTCCAGGCCAAGAGTTCAGGCCCAGGATCGGACCCCCCCCTCGCAAAAAAAAAAAAGTATAAAATAAGTACTTTTTTTGGTGCAGGGCCTGAAAGCAACTGGGGTGCTATCCCTGAGCGATTTTGCTCAGGGATAGCACTCTACCACTTGAGCCAACTCTACTTCCAGCTTTTGGTAGTTAACTGGATATAAAAGTCTCATGGACATTCCTGCCGGGTCTGGCTTCAAACAGCAACCCTCAGATCTCAGCCTCCTGAGTAAGTGGGATTACAGGCAAGAGCCACCAGTAGCTGGCAGGATATCACTATACTGATTCCAACTTCTGCATCTATTTCTACAATGTGTACTTGATGGAGTAAATGCAGATTAAGCATTAAATAGTAATAGAAGTACACTACTAAAACTCATTTACAGACAAGTAGTTTCGTAGAAATACATCAAACTTCATCTCAGCCTTTCAATATCCACCTTGTTTTAACAAACAACCTCAGCAACAGCAGATATTATTGTTCCTGTTTATCAATATAAAAATGAGGCTTAGAGGGTAAGGATCATAATTCATTCACAAGTCCAAGAATATCTATCTTCTTAACCTGAGAGCCAGTTTTTTCCAAATATCCCTACCTAACATTTACCATGACACTTTATGATATTTCCATACGGATGAATGTCAAGGAGTACAAAATCAAGGTATTCCTATCATATTCTACTTGAAATTTTACTTCATAACAAAATATTAGCATGTATCTTAATAGCGCTTAGAAGTATGTGAAAGTCACATTGAGAATTTATTCATCATTAAGTCTAGATAAAATCCTACCAAATGCTCAATTCTGTTCTTAATAATGGTATCCTCTTTTCTAGAAAACACTCTACAAATGATTCACAAGAGTGCTAATTAGCTTTATCACTGGAAAAAATTCTGAGACTAAATCTTGGTCTTACCACTCACTAACTGTTCAATTGGAGATATATTTCCTAACTTGAGTCTCATCATCCTTGTTCAAAAATTAAGACTAATACCATCTGTGTCTGTGAGATAAGACTAAATGAGACAATGTGTGCACTTAACTCACAGAAAATGACCAGATCATGTAGTTTTAGAGAAACAAACAGCTGCAGCTAGGTACTGCTGATGGGTAATGTCATTTAATGACTGTGAACTTTACTTGTTGTATTGCCCTTATTTTTTCCCCTCACAAATATCTGGAACAGGACACATCACTCTTGCTCTCAGGGAACCAATTAAAGTTAAGAGCTAGATTTCACTGTGCTTTCAACTCTTGTAACTGAGCAATATTGTAAAAATCTATCATTTGACTATCTTACAATTGGTTATATCTAATCAAAACTTACATGATTTTGAATCTTTCACTCCATTCTGAAATAAAATATATAGTAAGCCAATTTTATAAATACAAATCATGAACAGTGAATTCACATTAGAAGAAAGCAGCAAGAAATCTTCAGAGGAGAGGAAGAAAAGGAATTAAAACCAAGAGACATGTAGAAATTTATTATACACTAACTCACTTTCTTTCAATTTTCATGAGCATCATCTTAGTTATTAGCATTGTGAGATAGATTAGAAAAGTTCCAACTACACTAATCTACAGAAGGGCTCTTGCTTAATTCAAAGCCTTTCCCCTTGTAATCGCTGCCCAGAATGTTCTGTTCTGTTTCTCTTCAAGGCTATTTACATTTCTTCTCTCTCTCTCCTCAAATAGTACCTTCTTCTGATCATCCAATCTAAATCTAAAGTCGTGCACACGAATTACCCCACTGTGATTTCCTTCACAGAACACAAGATGGTCTATATTTGTGGTTAAAGACATAATTTAACTATGACAGCTATGTATTGGTAGCTCAAAATAGAGGAAGATGCTAGCTTAATGAGTGAATGAGTATCCCTGCCTATAGTCACTTAGCAGGCAAACTGCAGGGCCTAAAAACTGTCCAACAAATCTGTCTAGAAGTTCCTGCATTGCTCTTCTACAACTTTTTATTTAATAAGGAAGGAAGGTACTCTGGATGGGAAACCAATTGAGAGCTACATCTTGCTATGTTTTTAATTCTTCTAATCACAGAACTACCATACATATACTGCATTCCACAAACTATTTAACCCAAACTTCAGGAGACATTACATTGCCTTTTAGAAATCAAAAAACAAATGGGGGGGAGGGGGAATCTGCATTTATAATGCTGCTTGACAACGTGTAATGTTTCAAGTCATGAGTAACTGGCACCAGCAGTTATTTAAGGCTAAAAGAAAATTAAGTCATACACATACAGGCAAATGCCTTCTGTAACAGGCTTGTAACATTTTGTTCTGAGTTGTTTTGAATTTCACAATACATTATGCAGAAAAACTTAAGAGGCATTATCATGCTGATAATGGTAATACTGTTGCTTCTTAAAGGAAGATGACACATGCATTGCGTTTTAGTGGCGTTAACCGCGTTCTTGCAGGTAAAGGTGACCTCATGTAAAATGGGCTAAGTGCACTAAAGCAAAGTTCCTCGGTTACCTGACCCACTGGGTTCAATACTTACTGAGTCCTCCATCCTCGGATACTCCTGTCCCTCTCATTCCTAGGTAAGTCAGTCCCAGTATTAGAAAAAACAAGCAGGCAGCAGTTAGGAGAAACATGGACAAGTAGTGAGCACTGAAACTCCCAGTGGGTGACACCTCCTCGCGTTTAAACTGCTGCAGAAGTTCCTCTTCGGGTTCGGAAAGCTTGGGTTTGCTGTACGCGTTTTTCAAGTAGGTATGATTGGAGCCCGTGTGGTTGGCGTGATTGATCCTGAGTGAGGCGGGGGCGGCCACCGTGGAACTGGGAGGGAGGCTGTTGGGGTACATCCTGGGGGAGTCCATACTGAAGGCCCCGCTGCTGATATGGTTATTGGTTTTCAGAAGAGAGCCTGTGGCTGCTGCATCCAAGGTGGAGTCCAGGTCAGGAAGCGGCGGCGAGGCCAGGGTCGGAGCCAGCTTCTTAGCGCCAACGCGATACCGAGGAAGGGGGCTGGAGTCCACTTGATCGCAGCCACCACCACCTCCTCCTCCTCCTTCTCCCCCTCCCGCCTCCACAGCCGCCTCGTCGAGGTTGCGGCTCCTGTCTAGACTCCCGACAGCCGCCGCCCTGTCATTCATCGCCAGTCCTCCCCCTCCCGGAGCCGAGGTCTCCAGCCGGCTGCCGGCTGATTTAGCAGTCAGCGGGGAGAGGGGCTTACTATGGCTCCTTCGGGGCCGATGCCGGGAAAGGGAGTCGTCCTTGAGTAATACCTGCCGGGCAGCGGCCACGTCGTCGTCTTCCTCTTCCTCCGTGTCCGAATAGTTTTCCCGACAGCAGTACGGGAGAAGCCGGCTGCCGTTCACGGCTCGGCCCGCCCAGAGCGGCTCCTCGGCCTCGGGATCCCCCTTCTCGCGGTCCTCCCCGTCCTCCTCCACGTCCTCCCCGGCGCCGTCTTTCCCCGACGGGATCTGCGGATCTGGCCCCGCGGGCCTCCGGGTCCCCCACCACGAATGGGGCTTCCTGCGCTCGGCAGGGTTGGGGTTCGTCAGCTCGCCGGCGGCCAGGGAGACCGGCGGCGCTTTGAGCCCGCGGTACTGGAGCGCAGCCCGGTCCCTCCGGCCAGCCCCGCTCCCGCCGCCGCCGCCGCCGCCAGCCTGGTCCGGGGCACTGGCCTCGGCGTCCGACTCGTCCGAGCTGAAGCCCAGCAGCACTTTGCTGCCAGCCGCGGGGGCGGCCGCCGCACCGCCGGGCCCCGCCACGGGGCTCTCCGGGCCTGAGGCCGACAACCGGCCCAGACCCCCCGAGGTCCGCAGGTAGGAGAGATCGCCCGCCACCGGCCGGATCCCCATGCCCACGGCCGCCGCCGGACCCGCCGCCGCGACCGTGGCGGCCGCCGTGTTATTGTTATTACTGTTCCGCGTCTTGTGGCCGCGGCCCCCGGACCGGTGTTGTTGCTGCTGTTCCTCCTCTCGAAGCTTCTTCAGCTTCTTGAGGTAGACCGGCCGGGTGCTCTCCGTCACGGGACCGGGAGACAAGCCGTAACGGCGGAGTTGAGAGAAAAGCTCCTCGTCGGAGAGCTGCTGAGGCGCCGAAGCCGCTGCTGCCGCCGCCATTTTCTCTCCAGGGTGTTTTACAAGCTCCGCGCTACCGGAAGTGACGCGCCGCCCTAGACCCTGAACTAGACCGGGCTGCGTCGCCCGCCCAGCGCCGCGGGCGTCTCGGCCAATGGGAGGCGCGGGGTGCGTTCACCTGAGCGGGAAGCGGCCACCTGAGCGGCGCGCGCCGCCCGCAGTTCTCTCCCGCGGCCCGGTCTGGCCGGACGCTCACCTCCGAGCCCCCGCGCGCCTTCGAGCCTGCCGGCCTTAGGGTTCGGGCGTCGCTCTTCGCCCCTGCTCTTCCAAATGCCGGCCATTCATCCATCCCCGGGAGCCGTCCACACCTTGACCTCTTCTTCCCAGGCTTCTGACATGGGGCAGTGACTCCTGAAAAGGAAATCTACCGTGGGAGTCGACGGCATTGGCTTCCCGGTTCCTGGTGAGCGAGCCCGGAGAGAAGAGAGGTCTTGGGAGCCACGCTACAGATGGGTGCTGCTGTTGGGCTCTCGGTTCCCTTTGAGTAGCAGGCTCCATGCACAGAGGAACCTTTGGTTTTACTCACGACACTTCTACAAGCGTTTGTTGAATGAGTAGATGAATTGTAAGTTTATGAGACTATGAGGTGGATTTTTGACATAGGAACTGTGCCAGATTAGTTGGATTAACTTCCACACACAGTAGAAGAACCAAAAGCATTAGGACCTGGACCTGGTAAGGAATAGGAGAGGAGGAGTTCTCCCAGTTTGGTAAAGATGGCTTCCCTTTTCTCCAAGACTGGGAGAAAGTCCTTCACACTTCTTGAGTCTTAGCTACAAGGTAGCACCTATCAAAATATCTGAAAGAGTGGGGCCCTGGTGGCTTGTGCCTATAATCCTAGCTACTCAATCTGGGGATCATAGTTCAAAACCAACCTGGGCAGGAAAGTCCATGAGATTCTATCTCTAGCTAGCCACCAAAAAACCAAAAGTGAGGCTGTGGCTCCAAGTGGTAGAGCACTAGCCTTGAGTGAAAGTATGCAGGGGCAAACGCCCAAGCCCCAACACAGACAAAAAAATTTTTTGAATGTTAGAAACATTTTTGCCAGAATTATTTTATCTTATTCTACTATACACATGGTTCAGGAAAGTGTTAGTCAAAAGCATCCTAAATACAACAAAAGAAAAATACTTAGTAACCTCAAATTTTAAGTTCTACCAAAACATGCTGTGTCCTCAAAAAACTTCCATATGGAGGGTGGCAATGTCCTTTGTCATTCAGACTAAAAATTACAAACATCTTGAAACTGACATAAACAGTTACAAAAATGATTAGCAAGTCTGGGAATGTGGCTTGGTGATAGGGTGTTTGCCTAGCAGGCATGAAAGCCCTGGGTTCTATTCCTCAGTACCACATATACGGAAAAAGCTGGAAATGGTGCTATGACTCAAGTGGAAGAGTGGTAGCCTTGAGCAAAAAGAAGCTCAAGGACAGTGCTCAGGACCCAGGCTCTGAGTTCAAGCCCCAGGACTGGGGGGGAGGGGGAGTAGGAACAAAACAGAAGTGGAACTATAGCTTGATGTGATAGAGCAGTAGCCTTGAGCAAAGCTCCAGCACCCAGGCCCCAAGTTCAAACCCCACAATTGAAAAAAATGATTAGCATAAATCTACTCAGGAGGCTGAGATCTGAGGATCCCAGTTCAAAGCCAGCCCCGGCAGGACAGTCCATGAAACTCTTAACTCCAATAAACCACCAGAAAAACCGGAAGTGGCACTGTGGCTCAAATGGTAGAGCACTCACCATGAGCTGAAGATCTGAGGGACAGTGCTCAGGCCCAGAGTTCAAGCCCCATGACTGACCAAAAAAAAAAAAAAGATATTGCCGTAACTGTTTGGGTAGGGAATCAAATTATTACAAATCAGTTGGACCTATGCAGAATTGTTGAGAGCTTTGAAGATAGGGGCACTGTCCTGTCTCTCGTTCTTAGTTCAACATTTATTTCACATACTTTTGTTGTTTGGGTAGGAATCATAGAAATCTATCTATTCAGCCTTGATTTTCATGAACCTTTAAATGTCCTCCACCTAGACTGGGATGTAGCTCAGTGACAAAGCACTTGCCTAGTAAGTGCAACATCCTGGGTTCGATCCCCAGTACAAAAAAAAGAAAAGACAAAAAATAAAAGTCTTCCACCAATGATTGTTGGACTATTTATATTTCTGTATAACTGACAAATTAATCTTTTACAGCCCTCTGTACACAGAAAAACCTTCTTCAGAAGACTTTTTAAGAACTGAATGTTGGTCAATAATGTAAAGCCAAGCACTGCCTGTTTTATAGTCCTCCAAGTTATGTGCCTTAGGGTAAATCTTGGGCTGTCAATGTAAGAACCACAAATCATTTCCTTAAAGAATGTAGACAATATTGACTACCCTATTTGGAAAACAATTAGTGTCTATGATAAATTAGGTGTGTGAAAATGGCATTCAAGTATGTTGTTTACATGTTAAATGTTATTCCCACATGTTAAGAACAATATTAACATTATATATAACTATACAAAAACATTTGTATACATGATTTCCTTTGGTCTGCAAAAATAAACCTTCCTTTCTGAAGATATTGAGAGCATAATTAATGGGGTAAACTATCTGGGTATGAAATTCCCTTTGGTTTGACTGTTTAAACAGACAAGATACAGAAGAACCTTCATAGTATCAGTTGTGCACATTTCAGACAGTCTTCTCATTTGCTAATGACTCTTATTCCTTCTTCCAGATTGAGTAACTTAAGGCATCCTTAACAGGGAATGTAATCTCAAACTTACTCCTGCGCATAGCTTCCAAATATTTGAGGAAACATGATACATTGCTCTTCAGAGCCATAATATCAGCTTACAATTAAGTAACTTGCATGGAATAATATGAAACCCAAGACCATATTCTAATAAAGATATACTAAAAGTTTCCTTAAAGAATGTTCCTTCCTTGCCTCCATATTATAAACAGTTCTGTTTCTTCCTAAGCAATTCATTTGTTTTTTGTTTTGCTTTGTTTGTTTATTTATTTATTATTTTGTTGGTTGTGGGGCCTAGGAACTGTCCCTGAGCTTTTTCCCTAAGGCTAGCACTCTACAATTTTGAGCCACAGTGCCACTCCTGTTTTTCGAGTGGTTAATTGGGGATAAGAGTCTCGTGGACTTTCCTGCTCTGGCTGAAAATAGGGATGCTCAGATCTCAGCCTCCTGAGTAGTTAAGATTGCTTTATTTTTACTGAGACAAAATCCCCATAACACAAAATTAACTATATTGAAATAAACAGGTAGCATTTAGTACATTTACAATGCTGTGTAACCATCACGTCTATCATTCCAAAATGTTTTTTTCACTCTCAGAGGAGGCTCTATAACCATTAAACAGTCACTCTTTACTTACTCCTCCCTCTAATCTCTAGCAACCACCTATCTACCTCTTGTCTATGAGAATTTGTGAAGTTAACTGTTGTTGGTATTTCATATGAACAGAATTAAATATGTGACCAGTGCTTTCCGCTTCTTACACTTAACATGTTTTCAGCTTATTCCATGGTATAATGTACATTAATGCCATATTCTCATGACTGTATAATATTTCATTGTATGTGTATACTATATTCATTTATCCATTTTGGTTGCTATGAATAATGCTATCCAACAGTAATATACAATTATCTGTTTCAATTCTTTTGGGTATGTACTTCAGAGTGAAGTAACATTATATGATAAGTTAAATTTTATGCGTAATTACAAAACATTATGTTTTTTAATAAAAACTAGGTAAGTAGATACTGAATTGTCCCAGCATCCAGAGCTTTTATATAAGGCATTTCTTAGAACTGCAAGGGTTTGAATATGGTATGTTCCACCCAAACTTATGTTAAGGCTCAATTCCGTAATATCAATATTCTGCAAGGTCTAGTGAGAGGTATTTGGGTCTACCCTGAGCCCTTATGACACATTAATGTCCTCTCCTTGGAATAAATTCTTACCCTGACAGGACTGGATTAACTACCTATAGAGGACATTTTTTAAAGTATGGTTACTACTTTTGTTCTTCTACATGTGCTTTTTTGTTCTTGCATTTTTTTCTACCATTTATGGAGCATGTGATTTAAATAAGTCTCCTTCATTATAAATTTCCCAGGCTCCAGTCTTCTGTAATAAGAACAGGAAATGGACTTTTAACACTTGCAGCATTTCTCCTTTTAGAGATTATAGCTAAGAAGTTCAGACTTGAATTTGTGACCCAGACACACACACACACACACACACACACACACACACACACACACACACACACACACACACACACACACACACTTTTGGTTGCTGTCCTGGGGCTTAACCTCATAGCCTAAGCACTGTCCCTGAGCTTTTTGTACTCAAGACTAGTGTTGTACTATTTGAGCCACAGTTCCATGTCTGGTTTTTTGGTGCTTAATTGGAAGTTAGAGTCTCTTGGACTTTCCTGCACAAGCTGGCTTCAAACCATGATCCTCAGATCTCAGCCTCTGGAGTAGCTAGAATGACAGGTGTGTGCCACCTGCGCCGAGCTACACATACATTTTTAATACAGTATTGAGGATTGGACCCAGAGCAATATGTTAGGTAAGTGTTCTAGTACTTGATCCAAACCCCTAGTACTTTTGTTGTGTTTTGTTTTTGAGATAGTCTTACTATTTTTTCCATACTGGTGTTAAAGTCTTCTTTCTCCTGCTTCTGCCTCCCACATAGTTAAGGTAACGATTGTGTACCCCCACTCGTGCGTGGGTCATATATTTTGTAATCTAAACCGTTGCTCGATCTATCTAAATTTCCTAACTTTATTTTCATGCACCTCAATTTTAAAAATTACTATGATATCTTCTTAGGATATTTTTAGCTGTCTTAAATTGTTGCAGCCCACCACATGGCATCTTAATCCTCTCCTACCCGGAGCAAGGCAGTAATGGAAACTGGATGGTGGAATTGAGGTTTGGGGTACCAGGGCACCTGTAGCCTTACACCAACTTCAGATC